AGGTCCATAAATCGTGGCGAATATAACGCCAGGCGGCCCATATGTCACACAGTGGAATGAAAGGAATATAAAAAGAAGGAAAAGGAAAATAAATGAGGGGAGAAAAGCGAGGAAGGACAAGGAAACGCGACAGGATACAATTAGCGAGGGGGAAGTCAATTGAAGTTACAGCACAGCATTGCAGCGACACAGACACACAAACACAAGGAAATGTGGAATCCTTTAGGGGGGAAGAACTCTATCAACAGCTGCCAGTGCCGCACTCTCCACTCGGTTCACCTGCCCGCATCACCATCATCATCATCATCAGCCAAGAAAAGCAACAGCAACAGAAACAGCATAAGGCCAGCCACCAACTCTAGCCACAACAGGTGCATCGATATCAATAGACAGGGAGACAGAGGCAATGGCTCCTACTCGATATAATTAAGCGTTGTAAAACCACTAGAAAATACCAGTTGACGTTGCGCATGCGCCGTTCGAAGAAGCACCTGACACCGTCACGACAGGAAGAGCCAGATCCAGAGGGGAGCTGAACGAACGGCCAACGGCAACGGGCAGCTGATCCCCGGGTATCAATCGAGACTCGTGGAAATTCTATTAACAAAACAAAAAACTGACCATCTACCTGCCCGAAGATTATCCAATCCACGGCATCCCATAGTATTCTAGCTCTGTAATTTGAATATCTTCAACACATTGAAGAATATTTACACTGCCGTACGCTAAAAAACTCACGTAAACAAATTTGTTTTGGGTTTTCGAGACGAGTAGGAAACTCCTCGACCACATGCTGTGTGTGCGCTGGGTCGCTGGCGATAGCCGATAGCCTCTCTTGGAGGATCATATGTTGTCGAATCCACAGCAATAGATAATACGGGACTAACTGGTGATGGTCCTTTTTGTCAAGTCGTAAAAAAAACTGTAGAAAACACGAAGCATGTGATGGGCATCGTGTCCTCCTCATGTTATACCATTTTCTAAAAGGGGGAAGGAGCCTAAGAATTGATACTTTATGTTCTTTCATTTTACTTTAAATTTATTTAAATTATTATTTTTTCTTTATGTTTCTTATTTTCAGTTCCTCTTTTAAATATTTAAATTATTTCAACACAAAATTCTGCCTCCGACGAGCCAGTCTTCGCAGAAGATTTCAGATTCCTAACCTAAACGGCTTTTCGAGGCCGTACAATTATGGGTTTATATGACAAGAGGTAAGTGTTGCCCATATGTAATTCGAATATCTATGCTCTATATTTGGTTTGTAAATGATTGATGTTTATATAAAAAAATAAAGAATGTATATTTATAAAGTGTTATTTACATGTAAATATCGTATTAATTGTCTTTCAGGCTATAGAAAAATAAAAGAATATGTTTAATGTTCTATATTAAACTAGAAACTGTTTTAGTTTTGGGTTTATAATGGCTTATTTATGCACTAATCACCACTGGTTCTAACTGGTTTACATCATTGTTCTATTGTATATGATTTTTCTATCTTTACCAACACTGGTTTCGAAAAATTATCAAGTGTTTTTTAAACATAATTTCGAACAGTTCGAAGTTCTTGAACAACCTGCATACTTTTTTTCTTGTCTGGCTCCTCACACATTTCCTTTTCCCATCAAACGTTTTTTGTGACTTCCATTTCCTTTGGAGTAACCAAAACTAATTAACACCCCACATGAAGGCCAAAGAACAACATCACATCCCCAGCAATACTTTTGTCTCTAATATCAAACGATATAAGCGACTCTCTCGACTTCCTGTGGCGACTCGACTTACTTCCTTTTTACCACTAACTATCCTGGTAGCCAGCAGCACTCCACTCACTCTACAGTCAGTTCAGTCTCTCTTTAATTCGTTTTACCAAAATGATGTTTATCTAATAGCATTTTCGTAATTATAAAGTGACAGAGCCCTGGAATGGTTATGCCTGAATACCCGCCGATAGAGGCCCGCAGGAGCACAGCTCCTACTGTTCCTTTACTGTTCCTGGATCCCAAGTGCGATAATCTAAAATGCATTTTCACTGTCAATTCCCAAAAGTTCTCCAAAGAGCCCGAACAGATGGTTTTGTAGGTGTTAAAGTCGCTACCGAGCGTTCCATTGCGTTCCGTTGATAACCAAGTGCCGTCGCTGCATTCCTCTACACTCGGCATTCCTTTACAGGGCCTCTCTCTCTCTGCAGCGATGTCCTGCGTGTGATTAGTAAATAATTGCGCGCGAAAATGTCATTAGAAAAGTGTTTAGTTGTGGGACGGTTCGGCTTTGTTGAGGGTTGCACCCTGGGCAAGGGCCAGTGCCAAGGGGTTGTACATACATGCTGATAATGTTGTCATTGCGCACACTTTCTGTGGCTTTTTCCGTCATTGGGCCAGTCAGTCATGTGTCCTGGCCAACACCAGGACAAAAATTAATTGAGTTTAATATGTTTGACCCTCTATTTTGATGTTTTGATGTTGTTGGGTGGGTGCCAGCGACTGCGCATGACAATAATTGCATAATTGCCTAGTCATTTGCTCATGTCAGATGCGTCCCTCGCTACATCATCACCCATGCCTCCCTCTTTTCGGAGCGATCATTCTGATCACTTAAGTGATAGTCCATTTTATGGACATATTTCGTAGTTAGGAGTAGGGAGTCGGGAGTCAACATGTGTGCCGCATAATTATGGGTATTTGTTGCGAAACTATAACGGAATTTGTCAAAATGTCGTTCTTTGAGGTTATGATGTGGCGGAACACAAAGCGTTGCATACTTTTGAGGGCAGCTTTAGTACTGAGAGATTATGGTCTGAAAAGTATGTGAAAAAGTCTCGACAGAGGCGCAGTAATTGTCGTATTCCACTAGATCTCAAAACCCAATCTAGTCCGAAGGACAAAACACCATATTAGTGTTGATAGAGGTCCTCAAAGTGCTATCAGTTCTGTACCACTCCAGCGGTACTAGGATCCATTTCATTTCTACATCTTAAAGTAACCCGTTAATGCTTTAAAGTGTTTACTTAAATAATTTTAAAGGGTTGAGCTCCCCTTCCTTTTATATTTTTAATACTAGCTTCTCGACAATTTCGGAGACTTCATTCAGAGCTTCCAAAATCAAAATAAAATCAAATATAAATCTTCTATATCAACGAATCTCTCTGTACAATATCTGTAAATGTTCTTCCTTGAAGGCTTAAAATGTCTTCAAAATTCATCATCGGGGATGTGTTCCGATACAAATTTATAGCATCAGCAACAACAAATTGGTTGCTCCTTGCCCCTCGCAGCTTGATATAATTTATCATGTGAGAAAGATCGATCCTTTGATACGATTCCCAATGGCAAGATCCACTTAATATGCATTGGACAATATTCCTGGAATGCGTACGGCCTTACGGTGTTTCCCTCTTATCATCTCCGACTGGCGGCGGCACGGCACCCCAAGATAGTGCCTTTACCCCCAGCTGCCATTCGCTACCTACAGCAGAAAACAGAAACAAGATTTTTAAGCCACGCCGCAAAAGGGAAAGGCAACGGAAACTTTCACCGAGAAATGACAAATTTCAGTTTGAACCTTTAACCAGAGAGATGCGAGAACCCTGACCCCGTGAAACCCACCAACAGAAAGAAAGCAGAGAGAGAGAGAATAGATGGTTAAAAAACTTCCTTCACTGTGTGGACTGTGTGCACGTACACTCCATTAGTCCTTCTTCCTTTTTCCACATTCTCCGAGAGAGAGAGACGCGACATTTCTCGCCATAACTCATTTTTAAGCGATTCCATTTCCTCGTAATTTACTACGTGATTACTTTTTCTTGTTCATTAAACCATTAAACGCGATCGATAGTGGAGGGCCAACCTTTACAAGGATCAAAACAGGCATCTTTAGCCTTGGTCTCAATACCACACACCCAATTGCAAGCGCAATCCTCTGGCCAAGGAGAAATGTCTTAAGCATTTGAATTTATGTATGTTGCAGCAGCCCTTTTATTTCTGTTTCTTTACTGCATATTCCCCTTTTCACAGATTCCTTCAGATGAACCCCGACCTCGACACCTTTTGTTGGTCGGTTTGGTCTCAAGGGTTAGATTCCGTTTTTTGCTCCTTTCCTCAAATTGCAAAAATTCGCGCAACGAATTGCTTGAAGTGCAGTTCCTTACATATTCTCTACACTTGAGAGGCAAACGATCTGAGAGGAACATCTGCCCATCGGGGAATGGGAAACCAAATTGAAAGGAGGGAAATTCTATGCGCCTGGCCCAGCCTCCCAGCACAGCCTCTTGCATTATGCATAATGTGCATGCAAATTTGCCAAAATTGCTCAATAATCTTGAGCAGTGAAAAGGGTCCACTCCACAGACAGGCAGCGAGGAAAGGCTTTCTTTTCCTCGTGAACGCGCCCTCGATCCCATTTTCCAGTTCCCTCGATCAGTCATCTCAATTTCAATTTCCCGGATGTTAAATATTAATGTATCCGTTGGGTGCCTCAATCTCGAGTCTACCATCAAGCATCTCGATTCGTCGGAGGCCGTGTCAAAATTCAATGAATTTATGTTTCGTTTGTATCTATTTTAGAGCGGACAAACGCCCCTATGCCCTGGGCGAATTGCTCGGCAGCGCATATTGAATTTCTCTTTCTATTTTTGCAAAAATCAAAAGAAATTTTCGACTAATCCCCAAAAGAGTGGGGGGCACAGTGATTCAGGATTGTATGAATATGTGGTATAGTGGTTTCTGTCGGTTTTTTATATTACCCAAATCAGCAGTATTTGATACTTGGGAGCACAATTAAAAATTAAAAAAAAAAATCATGTACGCGACATGCATTTTGTTTCTGGATTCTCGGGCATTCTTTTTTGAACTGTTCGCATGTGCGTCTGGCTCTGGCGTCGTTTTTCGAATAAAATAAATAAATAAATGATAATAAGACTTTCAATTCATGTACCTTTTCCAACAATGTTGTACCACTGTTAAAACTATCTTTCCTCCTCTACTTTCTCTCATTTGCAGTGTTTCTACTACCAGCAGCACTGAGCCAAATGGAAACGTAGTCAGAAGCGCCGCCAGCGCCAGCACCGAGCAAGCAGCCAGCAGCAACATTGTCGTCGTCGTCAACAGCAGTAGTAGCAGCAGCAGCCCAGCTCCTCTGTCATCCCCATCAGCAGTAGCAGAAGCAACAGCAGCCTCGTCCTCGTCCTTGGCAGCAGCAGCTCCCTTTATAGCACAGAAAGAGCTCCCTGGAACAGAAGTGGAGATGTGCTCTTGTGATAATCAGAACCTTGCAACATCCGCAACGAATGCAACAACTTCCAATGGCATTAAACGTAAACGGCGTTTAAGCAGCAGCGACTCCAATGATGATGCAAAGGTGAGCCACCCATCTCCTATCACCTCCCGCACAAAATATAGAATATTATTGTGTGTCTGCCTGGCTACTCGCATGAGATAAGTTTTATGAATGAAGTTGCATTATCAGAGCACATGTGACCTCGTTGATTGGCGCAATCTTATCAAGGAAATGCCCAGATTGAGTGAGGGAGAGCCAGCAGCCAATGAATGACCTAAACGATCTTGGAATATGTACATACATATGAAGTACGATGATTAAGCTAATTTGATCTGTATGATGGATCTGTGTGGGTTTTTGTTTTCTTAGTTTTGATTTTATTTGAAATTGATTTGATTCTCTTCTTATTTATTGACCTGTGGACTATGGATCTTCTTTGAGTTTAGTCTTCGATTTAAGTATTTCTAAATTAAAAGAAATTAAATCAAATGATTAGCTGAAGTTATATTATACATATATGTACAAACGAGGGTGACTCATTAAACCCACAGAAACTGATATGTTTGATAAGGATGATAAGCTTATATGTGGAACGTACTCCTTCCATGGCAACCCTGAAATATTGGCTTTATTGATTTAAACGTGGCTCACGACCAAAATTCGCCACGCCAGAAAAACCCTATGAAATCTTTGAACAAACCATCAGACCATCAGAAAGATAGTTTATGGGATGGCGGACACTGTAGCCATCTCAACTAAGCGGTTATATCAAATTGTTGGACCCCACGCATTGAGCTACAAATCAACTACTTTGAAAAATAAAAAATATATAGAAAAAAGCTCATATTCATAGCTAACACAGATCTTAACTGAATGATCTTTTCTCGTATTTATTCTTTTTTTTTGTAGATTAAATTAATAAATAACCATTGCAATCACTGATGGTTATTCCAAAAAAAAACTTGATTATCTTTTTTGGATCTTCCAAGTCGATTAGCTTTCTTTTGTTGTAAAAGAAAAGGATCTTAGAGCTACCCCTTTACATTTAATTTTTGTCTGAATTGTTTTCATTGATCTTCTTTTATTTTCCAAAAATCAATTCAAATGTCTCTCTACCGTTTTCGTATGTTTAGTAAATGATCTTTTATTTGTTATTTGCCCTTTGGGAGTGTAGTATCCCTTTCATGGCTTCCGATGATGATGCTGCTGCCGATCCTCGTTCCTCATTAGATCTCTAGCCAAATAAGCAATTGGGCACGTAGCCAGCTCCTCCTGGGCGCACACACACACACGCACACTCACAATGCCAAGATGAGCCCAAAAATAAACGCTACTTATGCGGAAAAAGGCTCATTGGGCATCCTTGCTAGAAGTCAGATCTCTCCGCTCTGTGCCTTAAGTCTCAAGTAGCTGCAATCAAAGCCAATGGAACAATGGCTTCTCTCTGGCGGGTCTCCTGGCGTCTTCTGGCAGCTCCTGGCAGCTGTGTTGGTGCAAAAGATTTTTGGAAAGGATGAAAGGAGCTGGGCAGTATCAGCAGCAGCAGCAGCTCCCTCGACGTGCAATGAATTTGCAGAAATCGAGTTTGGGTTGTTTTTTTGCACTGTTTTCCTGCCGTTTGCTTCCCTGCCAAACAAACAGCAAATGTCATTTTATTCAGGAAAAAAAAACTAAGGCAAACGTCTGGCCCCCTTCAAGCTGTAAGGGAATTCCGAGGGGTCTTGCCACTAGTATGTTGAGCATATGCACGAAAGGACAAAGGACAGCGACAACGACGTTGCGCATGCGCGCACACCTTGAGCAGCGTCACTTTCTCTCTCTCTCTCGCTCTTTGCGGATCACCAGGGGTGGTTTCCCAAGGAGAGGACGGACCTTAAAGTCAAGGCGGAGCGCAAAACGTCCGTTAGAGCCGTAGGATGTATTTGAAATTGCGATAGTTGTAGGTTATATGTAGCTTGAGGCGCAGTAACTAGATCAAGACGATGGGTAAGGATGGGTAAGGGATCGGCATCGACTACCGGAATGGGACAGAGAGCTAACCACAAACACGAATGAGCCAGCGAACGAGTGAGCCGAAGAGGGGTTCAGCGGCACCGCCTTATCCTTTTCAAGGATCACTGGGTTGGCTGCCAAGTTTTTCCATTTTTCCTACGGTGCTCCTTGCCGCTTCCCTAATTAAATATTCATCGAGACGACATTTGCTGCAGAAGATGTTACCGTTCCATAAAAAGTGGTCGGTCGGTCGCTCGCTTGCATTTTGCTACCCCGTCTAGGGACATTATCCTTATGCAAATGTGTGTCCCGTTCCCGCTACCGATCCGGGACTCCGGTCTTCTCATTAGATTTCCGTTAAACTTTTATGCAAATCATCCTGCTTTTCCTCCTCTTTCTCCTACTCCTGTCGGATGTCATCTGGGTTTGGAGGATACACTATGTGCATATGTAGCCCCTGCATTGGAATTCCTTCCTTGAAATATTATACAATATTTGTTTTGCTGCTGGCAAAAGGATAAGAATTACGGTATTATTTTACCAATTTGTCAGTGTAATGTAAACCCTTTTTTCTTTCTCTTCTGCTCGATGCATGAAATCGCTGAAAGTTTCTTTCTTCTTTTTTTGGGAAAACTTCATTGTTTCTTTTCACCGAAACAAGACACGAGAAGGGAGGGCAGTGTTGGGATAGGGTTGAGGTTGAGGTTTGCCTGGGATGCAATCAAGTGCAGGGCTTGATTTCTGTCAAGTCAGTTCCGCGGGCATTGTGGGAAATTGATTTCAAGTTTTCCCCAGGTTCACCCCAGATTTCATCCCGTCATGGGATGGGATTCCACGAGCTCTCATGTTCTCTGTAACTCGAAGTTTTCTCTAATTTTAAAGAGGATTTCACTTAGCTAACGGGTAAACAAGAGTTGACAGGATCGTTTGGGATGCTTTCTGTAATGATCTGTTTTGAGATGACAGATCCCATCCGTACGATAAGAAAACGAGTTTGAGCTTAAGAAAGTTGAAAGATACATCAGCTATCTACGCTATCGATGATCTAGAAAGCAATAAGTATTAATAAATAAATGCAACAACAGAGATTACATTCGTTTTCTTTAAAAGTACCTCTGCGGGCTGCAACTGTTGGCATATATCTTGCCTCGATGATTCGCGACAGGAAGAGGCATTCATTATTCATTGTTTGCCTCAGCTTCAGTTTAAAATTCAGCTACAGACTCAGATCTAGATCCTCAGAGTTCACATACTTGCTAGTGGTATGTGCTATCCTAACAGATCAGATTACAACTACAATTCCATTAACAGGACATACCAATCAAAAAGCTTTTCTCAAAACGAATGAGTTGGAACGTATGTATAAAGTATAATGAAGTGAAGCATTGGTCAAGCATTTAGAATTTGGGGGAAGTAAACAAAAAAATGACCCAATCGGCGGGACCCAAATGGAACATCAATGTGCCCGTCATAAACACTTTTCGCATGTTGGTCTGGCTCTGTCATCGGTTTTCGAACAATAAATCTCCGGAAAATGGGAGCAATGGAAAGTAGAACCAAACTTGAAATTAAAAACCCTCCTCCATTATTCGCATACTCGTAAAGCAGAAATTACATTAACATATTTCCTCTTCTAATGCTCCTTTACCTCAGAAGCGTCTTGTGGTAATGATATCCTTACCTAACATTTATCATTTCATGTTTTGGTATTCAAAATTCATTTGCGGGTTTATCCTTTGTCCACTTACGCTCAGATCCTGCCCGTCCGCTGATGGGCTATGCTTTAATTTACTTTCGTCATGGATCTAACCAATTGCATGATTAATTACAATCCGTCTGTCTGTCTTCCTGTCCGAGTGGTTTACTCTCCCTCTCTGGACTCATATTTCTTCCGACTTGATGAAGATTTTCCTGCCAAGTCACGGGCAGGACAACGGCGAAAGGATTGTGTTGGATTAACCCCCCCTGTGGACACTGACCAGAGGTCAGTGTTCGGTTTGCCTAGAAATATGAGTGTTTGTTATTGTCCTTCTGGGACATGTATCCTCTCCTGTCTGGCATGTTGTTTACATATCATTTATTACAAGAAGAGCAGGGAGCAGTGGACAGTCCTCGGCTTGAGAATTCAGAATAATGACCATTAGGGAGAAATGTAATTTGTCAATGAAAGAAAACAAGGAACGAAATAAGTTTCTTATATTTTTTTTTAAAGAAGCTTTAAAGCAGCGTTCAAGCTCTCGAGTGCTCCCACAAGGCGCGGCACATTGATGCTCGGCTCGAGACGCACAAGCTAATGAGAATTGTCAAAACAACATACATTGCTTGTGCCTGACACCGCAATTGATGCTCTCCAGCTTCTCTGATAAAAGTTTCTGTTGTCGTTGTCAGGCTGCTTCCCAGAAATCACAGTTTATCTCCGACTGAAAATTTTCTCTCTGTAAACCACAGCCGCTTGGAAAAATATTAACAATTATCACAAAGCCATCGAAGAGAGAGAAAAAAACTAAATTAAATGTTATCAAAAAGGGACTTGGGGGAGAAGTGAAAAGAAAGAAGGTAAAAATAATAAAACGAAACAACAATGCTGCATATTACACGGCAAAGTTACACCTGGTCCTGGTCCTGGCCCAGGGACGGGGACGGGGCAGACCCACGCCACGCCAATGGTAAAACGATCGACGCGACGCAGCGAAAAAAAACTAAAGGTGTTTCGGTTTCGAGCAGACGGCAGTCGAAAGATTACGACACATAAGCGCAGGACTTTGTAGGGTATGAGCGAGAGCAGCAAATGCCAGCACAGCACAGAGGGAGACCCAGAGAGAGAGAGAGAGAGAGAGCGAGAGGGAGAGGGAGAGCCAGAGTGTCAGCAGCAGGAGAGTAAGAGCCACACAATGGGGCATTGAAGGATATTGAGGTTGACGACTGCGACGACGACGATGTTTGTCGCATAACAATTGCTTTTCTTGACTGTTTTGTAGTATATGTACCCATAACTGCTAGAAGATGTGAATCAGGAATTGTGGAATTGCATCATCTGCTCCTGCTGCTCCCTCCCAGTGATATTTCGAGTGATGTTTTGGGTGCCTTAAGCAGGCAACAGATCAGTTCATCATCAAGTGACATCAACTGCAATCGCAGTCACAGGGACAGGGACAGCTGCTACCGTCGTTGACTATGTCTTAGGGCAGTGGAGAAATCCTTGAATCGGCTTAAGGGCAACAACCCAGTTTAACCCTTGTTAAACTTAAGATGCAACCCTCTCTGCTCAGATTGGTCCAGATTCAGTTCCAGCCCACATTACAGTTCACTAATTTCTCACACATCATGTCATAAAGTTTCCAAAGACAAGAAAATACCTACACTCTATCCACGCTTGACCAGATTTCGATACCCCCACCCCCCTAGCAGATGCAATGTCCACGCACCAAAACGAAGGAAAACCGAAAGGAACAGAACGGAATGTTATGTTCATTGTCTGTGGGATTGTCCATTGGCATTTCTTATGCCATTGCACGCTTTGATTTTAATTACATTGCATCTGGGGTTCCTTGACATGTGTCCATTTCCATTACCATTTCCATTTGCGATTGCCATTCTCTCCCTCTCTCGCTTCTGTTACCCAAATCATCTCTCCCTTCAGAAGAGGGTTGCTTGTTGTTAGTTACGTTCCTGCAGTTCCTCCAGAAAGAATAAGAAATTAAATTTGTCATGCGTCTCGGACCTTCCTGTCCGTCGTCTGATGCAAAAAAAAAATAGATGTATTTACCTTGGAAATGTATCTTCCTACCGAGAGGGTATCATGACGTGGAAGAAAAGAAAGAAGGAACGGAAGGCAAACCTACTCAAACAATTAAAAGTGTCACATAAATATCGTAAAATTCCCTCATTTTTACGCAACAAATTATGTGAAAATCTTTAATGAGCATCTCCTCCATATGGAGAGACAGCCAAGAGCGAGGGTTGGCTATAATATTGTTAAGCTTTTACGATGTGTGAGATTGCCAGTTATAGAAGTGAACATTGAAACATATCCCCCCAGATTGATATGTGCAAAAATTTGATAAAAGAAATAGTTTTTCAATCACGAAAAAGATCAATTTCAGTCGTAAACTTAGGGAATACCTTTGGGAAATATATTTTATAGCTTCTATCTTGAACCTCTGTGTGATATTTAATGAAGGGTCAGATCTTGAAATATTCTTGACCCAATCATCAGGATACAAATCAATGTCTGGTTCTTGACTTTCGAGAATGATCTTTAGAGGTTTCAAATTTACTTAGAACTTTGCATGATTTGATATCCGCACAAGAACCTATGGAGTGTGGGCAATCCTACAGAAATCCTTCTATTCTTTCATAGATTTATATGGAGTTTCTTATCTTGGCTGCTGTATTCGATCAGCTGCCGATGAGAACAATGGTCAAGGATCTTGCTGCTGTAATCTTATGACTCACGAGGGATTCTGTGCGTTTCTGTGGTTCCCATTCGCCTTGCTCTACATTCGACTTTCGCAACGCCCCACACGATCTGTCCCATGGTCTTCTACCCTACAGTCTTTGAAAAAGATAAAAGATAAATTACTAGAGAAATAGCTTCCAAAGATTTAACAGATTTTTGCGCTGCAGCCGCCTCTGGCAGCTCGAGCCAAAGACGGACATAAATTATATAAGTACTCTCTTTGCAGTTGTGTGTTAGTGTGTGTGCGTGCGTGTCTAGGTAGGGATTTTTCCAACGTCTTCGTCTACCTGGACACACACGTAAGAATTGTTGACAAAAATAATTGTAGAAAGGATCAGGGCCAGCCGTGCCGTGCCGTCAGTGGGATTTGTTGTTGGGCTGATAAACACCCAGAGGCGAAAAATGCACTGCAAAAACAACAGACAGGCACAAGCACAAGCACAACCCAGGCCCCACGGAATGAACGAATGTCTCAAGGAAATAGCCAGATCTCCGGGAAGGAACTACAACTACCCTTAACAACGGTAGAGCGGCAGAGCAAGAGAGAGGGCAAGCTACTGCTGCTTTCCAGCCTTTATTCACCGTTCACCGTTGTTGCAACGTTGTCGTGAAAGCAACCCCTATTTCCAGGCCGTTGCATTCGTTGAGCAGGATAACGACGATCAACGATCGGACTGGAGTGATGTGTTCGGGGTTCTCGGGGATCGGCGATCTGGAACGAGGGACGTCGAGCTCAGTTGCACAGCGCCAGTCAACGTGTTTGGTTCACACACAATCCGCTCAATCCGGCTCTCGTTTCGGAGTGACCAGAAGAACAAAGACTATTTATATGTATCTATAATACATACATACTACCAAAAATAATTAAATAAAAACAGAAGAAAAACAAACCAAAAAAAAATGATACGCTGCTAAAAGAGGAGGAGAAGCAGAGACTGATACCAAAAAAGAAATACTGTATATTTCGAGTGCAAAAAACTAATTTAATAACCGGATTTGGCAAAGAGATCACCTCACCAGCCAACCAGCCAACCAACAACAAAATAAACCAACCAACAAATTGTTTCCAATGTTATAACATACGAAAATTATTTGCACTTTTACACATACCAAAGAATCGACCGAATAATCCAAATTTTAACCAAAGACTGCAACGAGAATCGAGAATTGTCAAAGCAAAAAGTGCAATAACAATTTTTGTATATTGATTATACCAAAAAGAAGGAAAGAAACCATTCCAATAAACGAACCAAAACGATCCCACGATCACCACGAGAAGATCCCAAGCAAAAGGAGAGAAAACCGAACTAAGACAAAGTGTTATTGTTATACCTCTATACGAACGTAGCCGTAGCCTTTATTCTGTATCCTTTTGTGTGCCGTGCCGCCTACACTGCACTCCACGATTTCTGGCTAATATTTTGTGCGGGTGTACCCGGTCGGTCCATCTATCAAGGATTAACAATTTTGACAGGCGTGCCCACATAAATTCTTGCCAACGCTGAACCGCTGCCCCGCTGCCTCGCTGCCTGATCTGATCCTCCTTTGCTAATTATATTCGAGACACGTTTCTAATTCCGCCGCCATCCGACGTTGTGTGTGTGTGTGTGATCCAGTTACTGACTCCTGAATATCCTTTCCATTCTCGTTCATGTTATTATGAAGTTGGAACAGAAGCGCAAATTCATTGAAATGGTAAAGATTGTTTTTGGAATATATCTATTAGTGTACCTATGCAATTTTAGTTTAGGAACATTAAAGATTTCAAGGGGAAGTTCTTGGAAGAATTCTTGTAAGAATTCTGAGAAGAGATCAGAAGTTAAGCCATGAGGGATTCAAAGTCTACTTAAAGCTGATCTACAGATTAAGGGATTCAACTTTAGCATCAGTAAAGAACCATCTGCTCTTGACTACATTTTCTTCTGTGCAGAGATCTTTTGCCTTAAGCTCTGAATAATTGAATCTAATATAAATATTTTGTGTGCTCTGTTTTTTTTTTAGGATCCCGAACTCGGCTTTGAGCCACCATCGGCCAAGCGGCAGCAGCGTCTGCCTGCCATCTATGGCAGCGATCAAAGCAGCAATCTCTCCTCTGTGGCCTCCTCGGTGTACACCTCCCCTGGCCAGAGCACCCAGGAGCTGCTGAGCATACGCAGCTCGCCGGCAGATGAGTTGCCAGAGGCCTCGCACAGTCCGCTCCCCGACAGCCCCGACAGTCCGCCCAGTCCAGATCGCGGCTCGGCCAAGCAGGCGCCCGTTGTAGTGCGCTACGCTGTGGACCAGGTTAGCAGCAACAGTCTGCCAGCAGTGACAGGGTCGCAGGACCAGCATGAGGGGGATGATGATTTGCTAGACGATAGCTGCGAGGAGTATTCGTACGGCGAGGAGGATGAATTGGATGAGGAGGACGATGAGGAGATTAACTCGTCGACTATTTCGCCAGCCTCATCGGGCGGCAACCCGCCCATGCCGATCTATGGGCCCACGCTGAGCAACATCGTCAAGGACATGTCATGTCACGGACACGGCATATCACAGCTCGAAGAGTACTCGGGCCTGAATTGCATGTCACCAGCGGTGGAGAGCTCGCTGCGTCAGTGCCCCCTGCCGGCCTTGACCTGGGCCAATGCGGCCGATGTGTGGAAGCTGATGTGCCATCGGGACGAGCAGGATTCGCGCCTGCGCAGCACCACCATGCTAGAGCAGCACCCGGGCCTGCAGCCGCGCATGCGGGCCATCCTTCTGGACTGGTTGATCGAGGTGTGCGAGGTGTACAAGCTGCACCGGGAGACCTTCTATTTGGCCGTTGACTACCTCGATCGCTATCTGCATGTGGCCCACGAGGTGCTGAAGACGCACCTGCAGCTGATTGGCATCACGTGTCTGTTTGTCGCCGCCAAAGTGGAGGAGATCTACCCGCCGAAGATTGGCGAGTTTGCCTACGTCACCGATGGCGCCTGCACCGAGAGAGACATCCTTCAGCACGAAAAGATCCTGCTGCAGGCCCTCGACTGGGACATCAGCCCCATCACCATCACTGGCTGGCTGGGCGTCTACATGCAGCTGAACGTGAACAACCGCACCCCGGCCTCGTTCACCCAGATCGGCAAACAGAATGCCACCGAGAAGGCTGCCGATGATGCCTTCATATATCCCCAGTTCTCGGGCTTCGAGTTTGTCCAGACCTCGCAGCTGCTGGATCTGTGCACTCTCGACGTAGCCATGGCCAACTATCCGTACTCGGTGCTGGCTGCGGCCGCTATTAGTCATACATTTAGTCGGTAAGTTCAAGGGCTCCTCATACGAGTAGAGATGTGCATTTACTAACTTTGTTTCTCTTTTTTGAACTACAGTGAGACGGCCCTCCGTTGTTCTGGCCTGGACTGGCAGGTGATCCAGCCCTGTGCTCGCTGGATGGAGCCCTTCTTCCAGGTGATCTCCAAGAAGGCCGCCTACCTGCAGGTGAATGAGCAGAACGAACAGGTCAGCAACAAGTTCGGACTGGGCCACGTCTGCCCCAACATTGTCACCGACGATTCGCACATCATTCAGACGCACACCACTACGATGGACATGTATGTAAGTATCTCTCGAGAATGCGCTGAAAAGAGGGTGGACGTAGACTCTTATGGATAGTCCCTAATCTGGTAATGCTCTTTTTGCAGGACGAATTGCTTATGATCCAGGATGCTATACACGCGATGCGAGCCCGGACCCAGGCCTCGCCGGCCACAGCGCTGCGCGCCCCGGAGAGTGTTCTCACGCCGCCCGCCTCTAGTCACAAGCCGGACGAGGAGCTGGGCGATGAGGACGAACCGTCCGCGAGCAGCAGCAGTAGTGGCAGCAAAAGCAGCGGCGGAATCAGTAGCTCCACCTCCTGTCACGCGGCCCATCGCGAGAATATTGCCACAGCTGGCAGCATAATGGCTGAGAACAGCAGAGGCAATCGCTGATAGATCCAGCGCATGCATCAAGCTCACAAACACACACCACGCCCGCCCAAACAGTTTTTACGTTAAGTGTTTCTTATAATTAAATTATTTATGTTAAGTGAAAAGTTATTAGTTGCCTAATTCCTATGCTACAAAATATTTAATTTCAACTTTTGCAAGCGCCCCTCCCTCTTTTTTTTTGTTTTTTCGGCTTGATAATTTCTTCGTGGCCCGATTTTTTGCTCAGTTTAATATTTAAATATGTGTATTTATCCAAAATCAGAAATATAATCATAATTGTACACTCCTAACTACCTAAAGATACAGATATGCATAAAGAGCATAGAGCGTAGAGCACACGTGGAAAACTGAATAGATCCTTAGATCCTAATACTAGTATACCTGCTGAAAGGGAGGCATACCCTCAAATGAAACAATATGAAATTGAAAACAGGAATATATATACACATATATATATATATATATATATATATATGTATGAGTAAATTGTTGACAATCGATCAGATCATGTCCAGCAGAGCCAGAGAACCAGTCAGAGTCATCCACTCATCAATTACCAATTTAATCATTAAGCGCAAGATTAACAAAACTAAACTGACGTAGAAAGCGATGGCAGGAGGCGCAAATCACTTGACTAATCAACTAAAACTAGAATATAAGTTGAGGGAAATGCCAGAACTAGAACCTGCATATGTAATGTAGATGTAGTAACTAAACCGACTAATGCTAAGCCCTGCATTTCCATTCAACGATTAAAACCACTAACAATGAATCAAACAAAGACAACAAGTCCACAGCTGACATGGAGTGACAAAGAGTAATGGCATAATTGAAGCATACAACATACAACATACGAGTATATGTATATCCTGAATCCCTGAATTGAACGCAAACTACAGAAAGAATAACTGTAGAAAATACTTACCCCTTACATGAGTGCACATGTAATGTAACATTTTTTAATTTAGACTAATTTGCCATAATTTGCTAAGCAAATAAATCCTGTATATAAAGAAGAAACACACACATACGCACACACAAAAGGAGCATACCGACAAAACGCAAACTGAAACGCATATAGTATATTATTATATAAGTGTAGGATTTCTATATACGGCTACGATATGTTTTGTATATTGAAATTGAAATATTGAGGCAATAGTGCCCCGCTAGACAATTATTATTAGTTGCATAGTTTAGGCATAGGTAACAATAAGTGTTCATACGATTAAGGATGGAATGAAAACAGAAAAACCACAAAAACAACGACTAAAAGAAAAGAAACAAAAACAAAAAAATTGTATCTATTTATGTTTTATTTGTAGTTTTTAAAGGCAATATTCATTTGATTTTAAACAATTTCACAAGTACGCTTATACCCCAATAAACAATCTATACCGGATTACACATAAATAAACTATGAAAGTCATGTTGAATTCAACGGATAAATAAATTAATTCTTGTAAATACTAATAAATGAATATTCTGTGATTTCATTTGGGATATCCACTCGAACCGTATTGACATTCGAACCTGAAGTGGGGTTCCGTTTTGAGAGTTGAAGTATCGTCAAGTCCATATCCCTTAACAATTGATTTTTTAGCTTATAAACGCTCCAATTATTATTTGTATATTTAACCTTTTTTTGTATAGCTAGCACCCATTTCCTAAATATTTAATGTATTGAAATAAACTTCTCAGACTGTTGTCAAGTGTCATTTATTATAGCCAGGCGAGCAAATGATCTTGAAAAATAATAAAACATACATTAAGCAATATTAATTCGATTTTCATTTATTAGGAATTTCCCATAAACGCATGTATGTAAATTATTCAAAGCAGATCAGTAGGATTTTTTTAGTTTTGATCTCGCTCACCAAGTTCTTTGTTTATTAATATGGCTTCTAAATAATCCTCTATGATTTCAACCAAAGGATTAGCATACAAAATATTGTCTCTTATTGAGTTTCCAAGATAGATTTTGATCTTCCCACGCTGTTGTCTTTGCTCGCTCACCCAGGTACGAACACTATTTACTAATTTTACAATATCTGTCTTACAGAAACCGAACAATACATTGATGATTTTCAAGCTCGGGAGTCCTTTCAGGAGGACCAGAAGTTGGTCAGGCGTAATGCTGGAAGGTGATATGTGGAGGTAGATAATGTTCTTCAGCTTCAGTAAATCCGCAATGGGGACGGTTTTGCAGCGTACTTCGAGTTCCTTAAGTGTAGATATATTGCAAATATGATAAGACTTTCAAGAGGAGAACCCTTTTTGTTGATTAACCCATCGATTAACGAGTCACGTAATGAACCGCCATACCACACTTTTAAATGTTTTAGTCTGGGCAACTGGCAGACCATCTCGTAGGGCACCGTTGAATCGAGGAGCTTTCCGCTAAATGTCAGACGTTCCAACTGCTTGCAGTTCGTCGCCAGAATTTCAAAATTATTCTTAGTGAGGTTTTGAATTTCAGGAAGGATCAGATGGCGTTATTGCTGCATCGTTTGGCAGAAATCCGCCACGCTCTTGGCATCCAATCCATAACAGGTAGAAACATCCAGAGATTCCAGTTGATCAAGAACATGCAATCCTTTTCCGCTATATGAGTCAGCAAACAACGTCAGCTTCCTTAGAGACGGAAATTGCTTGAGATTGCACACAAAATCCGTAAACAGCTTATCGTTTTCTTCGTTAAATTCGTCTTCTTCGGAACACCGCAAACTAGCATCCAAAGACTTGAGCTTTTTCAAGCTGTTTAAATCATCCAATCCGTCCCAGTCCGGAAAAAAATTCATTTCCAAATGTTGGAGATTGGAGCAGTAGCTCCGCAAGAGCCACAGGTGCTGATTTCCTTTCCAACTATTCAAATCAGACTTATAGCTAACCATATTGTCGCCAACGATCTGAAACAGTTGTTCTATATCTTCGTCTTCAAAACGATAAGTACATGTATTAATATGTTTGTACCGATGGGTTGCGTATCTCTTGAAAACCTCTCCAATCCACTGGTTCGAGGAAGCGAGACTTAGCTGGTCTTTTACCTTCAGATAATCAAATACAACTTTCCAGCAATCCTCGATTATATCAAAAATAGTTGCACGAGATGTTTCCACTTTGGCTTCCTTTTGAATGCGTGCATTAGCTTTTCTCTTTCTTTTTTTCGCGGCAGCAGCTTTTGCCACATTACCACTGCAAGCATGTTCACTCATGTCGCTTGTTGCCTTGTTTTGTTTGTTTTGGCAGATTCTATCCTATCAGCAGCTGCGGAAAAGATCAACCTTAACGTATGTATTTTAGGTACATATACATTGATGAAAAGTCAAAGACTTGCCTTTATGTGTACGGAAATCCTTTGGGTTGATCACTTATTATCTTTACTTGGGGCCCAGGAATCTGTACGTCTGGATGGAAAGAGATTAGTTGATTATAAATGCATCCATGTGTAATGGATGTAATATCTATACCATTCAATTGAACCGTCGATGGGTGCAGGATGGAATTGACAACGCCAGCTGCCGCCTGATTCTCGCAAAGCCTGGACAACTGCGAGATCTCTGCCAGATCCAGACACTGGTTGATGTTGTTTGAGGCTAATCGTGCTCCACCTTCAGCTCTGAAAGAAATCTAAGATTTGGGTTTAATTTTCGCTTTGTGCCGCGCAATTTGTTGCGAGCGCTTACCAATAGAGGCTTGCGTGTTCTATCTCGAACCAGCTTCGACATGGAGATTGGTTATTATGCTGGAACCTACGGAACCTTTCCAAATATACGTTGTTCCGTAGCTTCAGGGCTTAGGCATGGTTTCTTTCCCCTACAGTTTTGATATTTCAGGCTTGTTCTTGTTATTGAATTCAAAGGCACCTGCTGGCTTTATCGATGGTAGCCTCAAAATTATATGCAGTAACATCGATAGTATCGATAATATCAGTAGGGGTACTACTATAACATTTTGGTTGAAATAAAAATTAACAAAAATAGCTAAAATTACTATTAATGGATGTCTTTTATGGAATTATTAAAAAAAATTGTCACAAATTGTTGATGCTGTTGTTGTCAGTAGTCAATTTTTGCGGACCCTGTAAGGAAAACATTGAAGCCAACTATGTACATATATCAAAATATTTATTTTGAAATTTGTAAAAATGTTTTTATTTCCCACTCATTTCTCACACAGAGGACTTTAAATGCACTTTTTTTGTATATAGATATATACATATATATGTATATGTATATTATATTGTATATAGACATATTGAGAATTTTAATTTTAAAATTAAAATCAGAAGCTAAATCATCACCATGTTATTTTTATTACCTTTGTTACAAAGGGATGTATGTATCTATTAGTTTTGTAATGAATGTGGAAGTGTGTAACACCTAAAATTAAAGGTGTGCCCTCCTATAAAAAAACTTTGTTCTTAATCAGCATAAATAGCCCGAGTCTATAGAAAAGACTCGCAAATTTTTTTATTAAAAAAAAAGGTAATATTTTTAGTTAATTGTATGGGGACCGGTTTATTCGCATACATAAAATTCGCTTCTGACTGATTCGACCCGGAGAGAGACTAAATTGAGAGCTCCCAGCATGGGAGCTCTCGCACGCCGATTACTGATTCAAATGAATAAAATCATACGAGTGATTTTTACTCATTTTGTTTTCACTCATACTCATTGTTGTTTTGAAAGTGAAAAAGCGCGGACCTACTATTTCATTAAACAAAGCTGTGTGCACACTACTGATCAAAATATAAGTATGGGCTTAACTTAACTCAAATGTCAATGTTGTAATACGTTTTCACCATTTAAATATGCTGAAACCTCAAGACAAAACTGTTTGCACAGTTTGAGTCAAACTGTTAACGCTAAAGAAGTTTATTCTACATACATACATATGTATGCACATATTTATGAAATTTTATATTAAATAATACAAGCAATCCTGTCATCTGCTGTAGAATGTCGCATAAAAATATCTAAACCACCCAAAATATCAAATTTGTTTCGATAATTCGATACATATTTGACGTCCCTAGTAAAAGCTCTTAGAGAGAATGTTTAGTTAGGCGCGAGAGCCTGGCGAGTGTGGATGCGTTCTTTAAGCACGGCCTATACAACAAAGTGAACCAACCCAGTAAAGGGGAAAAACAACAGAAGCCAAGCGCGACGTCTAAAAAAATAAACCCCTAAAAGAGTAGAGAGGAAACACAGAAATTGTTGACGTGCGAAACAAAAGCAGAGCTAACGGTAGGCCAACGGAAAGTGCAACGAGAGAAAAGTGAGAGAAAAGTAACAGGCATAAACTTGCTCGCATCTTGTGGGCAATCTTGTGTGCCAATATTTCAGTGTTGTAAAGCAAGCAACGGAGAGAAGGAAATGTGTTGAAAATTAACAAAAGCTATTTGAAAATCTCTGTACACCACAATTTCTTAAAATCCAAAAGTTGGAAAAAATTCTACACAGATATATGTATGTACATAATATAAGTGTATATTTATATATATATATATATATATGTGTGTGTAGTGGTACAATATTTGTGAGCGCCAAAAAGCCGAAGAGACGAAGCCGCGCAGCCATATAAATCGTCGCTGCTCTCGCGCGACGGTCTCCAGCTCGAAAGTCCACGTCCTTCTCGGTCGCGTAGTAAAAACTCTCGTAGCTTGCGCGTGTGTGTGTCTGTGTATGAGTGTGTGTGGATTGTCGGCATATCCTGTGGGGCTCTCGCTGTGCCTCGCTGCACATACCCCCCGAAACACCATCCCGCTATAGGCGTTGCGTTTAAGGATTTTGTTTTTGGTCAAGTTTTTCGTACTCAGCTTCGAAATTGCGAATTTGGCGCGCAGAGGAGCATCAAGTAAGTGGGAGAGCGCTGGAGCAAGAGAGAGAGTTGGGGAGAGACAGCAAGACAGAGAGAGAGAGACAGTTGGGGAGAACTCTCTGCTGGCTCTCATTATACTGTCGTTGATTGCACAATAAAATGGGCAAAACAAAATTAGAAAAACAAGAGATTTTGGAGGAGTTCTCGTAAATTGGGTAAAGTTTCAATAGGAAACGGAATAAATCAAATGTTCAGCATTTTTCAGTGCGCGTGGGTGTGTGCAACTGTGTGCTTTTGTCTGTATGCGAGTGTATGTAAGCTCTTTGTTTGCGCGCCCAAAAAAGTATGCTATGCCGTTTTACTATTTACTACTACGCACGCTCCCCCACCCCCACTCACACTCACACACACAAAGCACACATACACATGGCACATAATAAGGGCTTAGCGTGTACTACATCTACGCAGCTTACGCAGCTGCGTTAAATCTCAAGGCTTGACCAATACCTCGTAACCTTTGACTTCCCTCCCCAGTCCTGGAGTCCAGCCACTGCAGCTTTTTAAGCTGTTTACCCACATATATATTTGTACATAGAGAGAGTGTATGTGGTGTGTGTTCGTATATGAAGGTTCTGCCAACGCAATCTTTATTATCCTTTTATTCTTCGGCTTTCTGGCTCTGGTTCTGGTTCGTCCTTCAAATATTTGCATCTTGTTGCTCTACCCTTTGCAGCAGCAGCCCGGCTAATTGATGTTCCTGCAGTATTTGTAATGCATCCATTTTTGGATTGCCGACCCCAAAAACTTGAAACCGCAAAAAGGATTTACTTTATATATTGGGACTTTTGAATAGTTTTATTCTTGTTTTGGGACATGATTAAGTATACATATGTATCAATGATGAAGGAAAAGTACTCGTAATCTTTGAAATTAGTATGAGATTGGCACAAAATGGTTCCATGAGCTTTGAATATCGCAGATTTCTCTGACATTTGCTAAAGGATTAATATCGGTTTAAATACGACATTATTATCAAAAAGGGTCTGATTTGGATGCTTTCAGTTTTGGAATTATTCATGAATGGAAAATTATTGTATTTTCGTATTGTCTCCTATTCTGCCAGCCTCCTGCAAATGTCGATGTTTGTTAGACAATCTTTGGGTTCGTTGGATGCCGCATAACTCAGAAAACACTTGTGAAAACTTGCAAAAGGTTAATATATATAATAAATATGGCATGTTGTCTGCTTGCAACATATCAAAATAAAATATATAGACAGAATCACACACACGCACATAAACACATTTGGCTGCTAAAACGTTTTGTGCTCGGCGTATTGAAATTTTCAGAGGCACATTAATTTCATTACGAAAACTCCCAAGGCCATATTGCTGTTCGTGAACATTGCTCCCTGCACCCTGTGCTCCTGTTACCTCTGCTGTTGTAAGCCAAACAAAACCAAAAAGCCAGGCCAAACATAAAAAGGCAAAAAGCAAACAGAACGGAAGAAGGGGGAAAGGAGCAGCAATAGTGGTGGTCGAGGGGTGTGACGGTTGTGAAAATGGGAAAAAGAGCGGCAGGAGCTAGCGATATATGCGATATAATAAATCTTTTGTATAACACGCAAAACTTTATGAACGTGCGCCAACTATAAAACTTTCACTTTTCAACAATGCTTTCCCTCTGCCTGACGGTTGCCTGACATATCCACACGATGCACATGCTTTTATTTTTATTATAACTATTATGCTGTTTCATTCCTTTCCTCCTGATAGCCTTACGAAACATGGACATTTCGATGGGGTATATGTACATATGTACGTATGTACGTATACGTGCCTGACAGCGAACGTTGACCCATTGAAGGAAATCGGATAATTCCAAAATGTTTATACCCGGTACTCGTAGAGCACTACATATAGCAGATGGAGTATATGTTATTCGAGCAGTTGTATATAAGTATAGCAAATGTGTAGGGAAAGTATTAAAGTATTCATGTAATATTTTTGACTATCCCGAAAAACCTAAAAAATATAGCTATTTCCGTATGCTTTTCTGTAGAAATACGTGGATCCCGTAGTCTATAGAAAATACACATATGCAGACATATGTATATTAACTTGTGTTATGTGTTTATGTGTTATGAGTTTAAAAAAATATGGGAGGAATCTATTTATATGTCCCGGAATTATACAAGTAATGTTTATAAAATAAATACCTACCAATCTAGCAACATCATATGCAGTTAAAAAATACATATAGCACCATACACATGCTCCGTAGTTTTGACCTTTCAAGTTATACTCATGCTCGAAAAAGACCGATCTTAAAATATCATCGAAACACATTTTAGTTTTAAATTTAATATCATGCTCATGGCAAATTAATATAATATTAATTGTTTGAATCGAATTTAAACTTTATTTACCACGAAAATTGAATTATAGGAAATCAAACATATCTCTGTGTATACATGATATTCGAAAGCGGAGACTTTTTCGTACTCATGTGTGTCTGGTAGGCTATTCCAATTATCAGATGAGTAAAGATATACATACATATATTCCATATGTACCTAATTAAAAAGCGAAGATGCATATGAACCCACGATAAAAGTCTTGTGTGCGGTGAACTTAGAACTAATTTTGCATTGAATAATTATTTAGTGTGGGTATAAGGTAGGAGTTATAGTCATAATATTAATATGAATGAATATTTTACTTAGCTTGCTACTTTTGTTTTCCTCTTATTCGTGTGAGTGGATGTGCAATTTGTATTGTAAACATATATATATGCAAATATATCTTTATAAAGATGTGGTTGATGCGTTATAAATAAGTTGCATACTTTTGGGGGCTTGTACTGAAGGAACTGACTGCTGCTGCTGCATGCAGCTCCGGTTTCTGTTTCTGTGAGCGGTGCTGGGGCATCCTGTGCGTGGCTGCCGCTCCATTTCTGTCAAAGTTTTTGACGTTAAGGCAGAGGAGCGGAAAAGGCGAAGCCGGGCAGAAAATTACACTGAAAGCGTGTGAAATACATATACATACATATGTACATATGTATGTCAATATACTTACATAGTTAGATATGTTGGTATATGAGGAATACGCATATGTATGTGTATGTTCGCTAGTGCGTATCGGCCACAATAAATTGTCTTTATTTCATGCGGATGCGGCTGCTGAGGAATGAGGGGAAAAGATGGTATTGGGGACAAGTTGGGAAGTTATGTGCGGGGCCCAGGCAAAGGCTTGCACCATGTTTAATGAAAATTATTACGCGATATCCTTGGGGACACACATACACACGCACGCACACACTGCTACAGGGGAGGATGTATGGCTATGTGCGCTTTTTAAGGGGGTGGCATGCCCATACAAAAAAATAACCATTACCCGCTGAGGGAGTCCTTCTGAATGAGCCGCCTTCCCCCACTGCGCATGTGCCTCAGACCAAGCGAAACGAGTTCGAGTTCGAAAGCATCCCGAAGTTATCCTCTCACATACGTGTGAGTTATGTTTATGCGTCTGCCTGTCCCTGTGTGTGTGTGTGTGTGTGTGTGTGTGAGAGAGGGTGAACGAAGTGGGAGTGGGTGAAAACGCATTTCTAGGTCAAACCCACATGAAGCCAGAGAACCTGCCCGTGGTCCCCATGCCAGACCATTATCGTGGAAACGTGTACGAAACACATATTTCTGGTTTGTTTGAGAGCCGAGCCGGAAAGAGAAACTTTTCGAAATGCGATTGAAAATTAGTTTTCTTTCTTTCTTTTTGATATAAAATAAAAGTTTCGAATAAACATATAACTTTTGGAGGAACATTTTCATTCGGATTTTTTATGAAAATTGTTATTTAAAATAAAATTTTTATTGCATTGTATTATACATCCCCACCAGAATTTTTCTATAAAAAGATAATTTTGGATATTATAAGAAATTAGAATTAACCAATAGTTTTTCCTTGAAGAGGTATACGAACCGTTATAGTGGGTATAAAACACACCTTTTTCGTATTTTCATCAGGTCTTAGATGATCCACAGTATTTTTAAATATATAAATCATCTAAACATTAATTCCTTCCAAATTCTAACACAATTAATTGTTTTAGTGGGTGTGTTCGTTCCGTTTTACAATCACATATGTAAAAAGTCTCTCTTTATAAAGATAACGTTAAAAGTTTATTTTAAAAAATTCACTAAATTTAAACGTTTTCTTGTTTCTTTACAGGAACCCAAACAACATATCGCAATACAATACCAGCTATATTAGCACTTGCCCCAAAAGAATAACTAATGAAATTTCTTGGCAAAAATGTTGAACATATCCGGCAAAAGCAATACAAACTTTTGGGAACACAAAATGTTCGACTTTCACGCGTTCAAACCAAGTAAATGAAAAACCAAATTGGAACCAACAGAAGGGATGCTATGAAAAAAACATAGTCGCATTCAATTACTGACTATAAATAAATTGTAAGCCGAAAATTTAAATTAATTAAATTGAACAAAATCCGTTGTGCAGCGGCGCTAATTTCTAGTGAAGTGTCAATAATAATAAACAAAAAAAATACAGCAATTAAATGTGGAAATAAAATTGAAATTGCTGGACTGTTCTGTGGCTTTTATCGCATGTGCGGGGCACGCCGAAGATAAATAATTATAAATTTTCGGAAACTGAAAAATCAATTGAAAGTGGCCGCCCCGAAGCCAAAACCAGAGATTCAAACGTGAACAGACCAAAAATGGAGAGCAAACACTGGAGTTGCTTTGTGGCCATTGTGCTGGGCGTGTTGATATTCAAAATGCACATATTTGTTGCGCTCGGCGATCAGGATGAGGATATACCCCACAACGAGTAAGTCCTGCCCATTATCCACATCTACATCCACATCTGACATGCTCCAACCAGCATCAGCATCAGCATTTTCAATTATGCATTTGCCAAACATTCTGCCAATTTCCTCTCGCAGGAAATTAATTGTAAATTTGTTTATTCTACACGAAATGCTTCGCCCAGTCCGTTGCCCAGACTATAATTTACCAACAATTCAACAAAACACTACTGAAACACAAATACTAATTGTTATTGTTTTTCGTTGCTATTTTCTGTATCAAATGTGGGAAAATGTGCCTGTTTAGTTCTCCGCTGAATAGTAAAACTAAACAATTATAAATTTTGAATGAAATAGAGAGCGCGCTGTATTCTATTTCTGTATGTGACGGCTATAGTAAACATACATTGCGAAATACTAATAATATTCGCCAAATCAATAAGCTGAGTATAAATACTTCAGTTAAGATTAGCTTTCGGTTCGACATTAATGGATGGGCCTTCATTGAAATATTTACCAATAATTTATACAATCTTAATTATTTTAAGGTTGAGTTGATTTTGGTTATTTTTAGTTTAAGCATCAATATATTTGGATAAGAAAGTAAATAATTTTTTGCAATAATAAAAAGAATATCTTGATGTTTTGAACAGAAATAGGTTTTATAACTTGGCTATCACAACTCTCCAGTTGGATGAAAGTGGCAGTAAGCGAAAGTATGGGATAATCCAAGTCCAACAACTTTCATTGAGAAGAATATTCATTGCAAATTGGCAAAGATCAAATCAACTCTCAATTTATATCAGTTCAAAATCGGTTTCACAATGCCTCATCAATTTTTAGTAGAATAATTATTTCGCATATAACTTTTTCCATGCCTCAACAGTTTTTTATGTGTCCGAAAATCTTTTGTGTGCAAAACTTTGGCCATTCGTTTGCATTTATAGGCCAATTTATTTATGATTATTACTTTGTTTACCACACACAGATTGGCAGAGAATGTTTTGCCTCTTAATAGCCATAGTTTTCCGACCGAGTGTAAAGTGTGAGGCGAGAAACATATTGAGGCACATGTCAAAGCGATTGGCAGTCTCATTTAAAATGCGCAAAAATAGAAAATAATGACTGTTTAGTTGCCATTAAAGAAAGAATCATTTTCATACTAAGTATACGCTGGGTAGACGCCATAAGATACGCGGATAGCGGCGTTAGTTTGGATAGTTTTTTCTGATGGCTTTGGAAAAAATGTTCTGCCTGTGCGATGTGCCGTTGAGATACTTTGTGTCTGTATGCGTATCTAATGGATACATAATACGATTTTGCAATTAGCGTTCGAGAGGACGAGACCTGCATGTGTGTGGGTATGTGCGTGTGTGTGCGGAAAGGAAAAGCAGCACACGTAACCGCAGCGCTCACTTGGCTAATTAACCCAAAACCAACTGCCATTTGCAAGCAAGGACAACTGCCTTCTGATGGGAATGGGCATGTAGACATGGGAGCAGGAGAAAGAGCGGGAACGGGAGCGAAAACCGGAACAGAGACCACTAAGTGATTTTTTTTCTTGCTGCTTTTGTATCTAATGTCAGTTTTATTTATTGAAATTAGTTTTGGCATTCGGCTTTTGTGTTGGCGTTATTTTAAGGGTTGCCATCCCTAGTAATGCTGTCATTCTTATTGGTTACCTAACTTGCATTTATGGTAATCGTCTTTTCCAAATCCTGTAATGGACTGTGCGTATACTCGTACATATATATATCCATCAAGATGATTTAGTTAACATTTGAGTTTGCTTTCGTACTCCACGGATTTCCTCTTGAGCCCGTTCCCCTTCGGCTTGACATGTTGCGGCACATGGGAGAAAATAAATTTAATTAATTTGAAACATAAAGTTTTTTGCTCGTTCTTTCCTTGTTTTCTTTCGGCTTCACACTCTTTCGTTGCCTCCCATGTTGCCAGTTGCTTTATGTCACTGCAGAAATTCAATTAAATTTATTTCAACTTTTGCTGCTGGGCTACAAAAACAACAAGTCGAGCCTTAGGGGTCCTGCCTTGACGATTATGTTTTGAAATGGGATGATGCCGCTGCTGATGATGAAGCTGGTCCTGTTTCCAAATGTGACTCTGATAGTGGTAGTGGTCCTGCTCCTGCTCTTGGACTCTGGGCCCATTGCTTTTGGTGTAACTGACCCAAATCTCTTTTATATAAAGTAGGAGCATTCCAAAGCGTTGTTTTGCTCGTTGCTGGCTTTTCCTTTTGGCCGGCCTGCATCCATTCAACGGGTTTTCTTAGGCCGTCCACATTTCCAGCTCTCAATAGCCACTCTCTTTCCGTCGTCTGACCATGTCGGACTCTCACTGACTTTGCCTCTGCCTGTGCCCATTTACTTGCCTCATTTTCAGTTGCAGTTGCAGTGGCAGCCATCGCCATTTTAATGCATGCCTCGTTTGCTTAAGCACCTCCCTTCCGTTCCTGCAAGTAGTTGCATTGACAGCATCGTCCCGGGGCTCCTTCGGCTCCTGCTGTTCCTCCTGGCCAACAAAAGACCACTTCCCTGACTCAGTGTGGGTCACGTGCCATGGCCAGAACTTTAAGGCCAAAAGAAAAGGGACAGCTTGTGTCAAAGAGGATGTTACATGATTCATTTTTTTGACAGCCTGCGAATGACCGATTGATTTAAAAACCAACGACGATTTTATAGAAATAAAACACGAACTTTAGATCAATATAGCCCAGGCATTATAAATAACTTGGTCGTAAAATGGAAAACCAAATCCAAATTTTGAATTCAGAATTGGATAGAGCTCTTGTGGCGAAAGGATTAGCTTCTCTGGGGAAACCCGCAACCCCGAAGGAGATCTCGGAGCAAATGGCAAAGATGTTTATTAGCACGCCTGCATCTGATTTCACGGATCAAGTCCAGTCGACCCTAGCGAAATATGAACCTACGGGATTCTTCAAGAGAGAGGGTGAACTCTATTCGGTGCCCACTGAATTATTCAATATAGTTAATAGCGGCTGTGGAATCGACGCAAAGCCAGCGATTCAACGCATTCAGAGCCAAACAAAGTCGGTAGTGTTCTACGGTGTGCCCCCCATTGACCCTGCTAACTCGCTACGCCATCCATATCTCTACCAATTTAACTAAACGAATATAAAGCAGAATTCCGTTTCTAAAAGCCATCCGTCAGATCTCACACACATTTAAATTTTGCTAACTTTATAAATTTCTTAGTCAACAATAGAAACCGCTCACGAACATAGCATATGTAATTTTCATAGCCAATTTTGACAAATAATTTAGCCAACAAAAAAAATAAACGTAAATTTCTGTTCCACATGATTTCAATTCCATTTTATTTTATATGAAAAAAAGACATGTTTAATATTGGTCATTTAGCCCGCATTAAAAGATGAAGGGCTCCAATCTATTATATTAAACATAAAAAACACTACACATAAAAAAAACTAGACAGCATATAAGCAAAGAACATACAATATTTTTTACCAATGAAATATATCCAAAAGAAAAGAAAATTCTACCTTTAAGCTCTCTTTTTGTCTCCGTATAATTTTGCTTTTCAGATTTTCAAAGTAGGTGCTTCGTTCTACTCCACTTTTATACGGAAATTGTTTCCTTTTTTATGTGTTGTTGGATCTGCAAGTGGCGCAATTGCTGCTTAAAACAATTTTTGCATTTGACACTATGCGGAGTGGGATTGGAGGGAGTGTCTGTGTGTGGCGTGGCATATCTAATTACGAGACGGATTAAGCGAACAAATAAAACAAAATCAACAGAAGCGAGCAAACAGAGCACTAACTACTTATGACAAACGACTGTGAAAGTGCATTAAGCGGCAGCTGGAACAGAAGCAGAAAAAAGCACCGGGAACAGAACTGACGTCTGGCGTATTATTTTGGTTTTTATCACCCTCCCCACCCGATCACCGTACGTACACCTAATATGTACGAGATATACGAATAGTTGTAGGAAAAGAGGATTTTAAATTAGCGAGGAACACGACAGATTAATTTATAAATTCGGTTGAGGCAGGAGCAAAGAACATGGAAAATGAAAAAATGCATACATTTATGATTATGACAAGCAAATTAGTTTTCAGTGGAAAACAATATACGTATTTTATTTATTTTATTTTATTCTAAATAGAATTTGAACATTTATTCTCAGAAGCCATTTCTCTCAAACCATCATTCACAAAGTCAGAGCTCTTTGATATCGGATCAAGTCATATGAAAATTCGAATTGCATGAAGAGGTGATTGAGTTAAAAATAGGAGGCAAGGATTTGGAAATTTTTTTTTTGAAAATATCCCTTTTAAGTCAAACTTTGAAACAAGATTATATAAATTATTAAAGAATTAAATGCAAGCTTTGGGGGTCTTAACCAATTACCCAAAATACAAGTCCTGAGCATATTACTCTGGTAACTATGTAACCGACCCAAATCCCTTTTCGTATAGAGTAGGATGATTCTAAAGCGTTGTTTTTCTCGTCCTCGCTTCTCCTTTTTGGCCGGCCTTCATTCATTCAACGGGTGTTCTTGGCCCGTCCACATTTCCAGCTCTCAATATCCTCGCTATCCCTCGTCGGCCTCTCACTGCCTTTGCCTCTGCCTGTGCCCATTCACTTGCCTCATTTTCAGTTGCAGTTGCAGTGGCAGCAATCGCCATTTTAATGCATGCCTCGTTTGCTTAAGCACCTCCCTTCCGTTCCTGCAAGTAGTTGCATTGACAGCATAGTCCCAGGGCTCCTTTGGCTCCTGCAGCTCCTCCAGCTCCTCCTGGCCAACAAAAGACCACTTCCCTGACTCAGTGTGGGTCACGTGCCATGGCCAGAACTTTAAGGCCAAAAGAAAAGGGACAGCTTGTGTCAAAGAGGATGTTACATGATTCATTTTTTGGACAGTCTGCGGATGACCGATTGATTTAAAAACCAACAACGAATTGATCGAAATTAAACACGAATTTATGGGAACTTTAGATCAATATAGCCCAAACATTATGAAAAACTTGTTTCCTTCCTTTTTTTCATTTACTTTACTTACTTTTTCATTATTTACGTTTTAATTATGGATGGATGATGGACGAATGTGTATAAAAAATTTTAAGCTGTGCAAATCTTTCAACGGACTGGTCAGTTCTGTGAGTGTTTGTATTTTCAGGTACGATTTAAGTTCAGTTTATGGCAGTCTATAGAATGGGCTCCATGTTGCTTTAAGAACACTCCCACACAGTGAAAGGGCATTGATGTGAGCCCTTGTGATTGTGCATTCAAGTCTGCCAGAGGAGCACTGAAGAGCATTGCTCGAGCAGAGGCACGGGCTGGAAAGAAACTCATTTCAATTTCAATGATGCAAAACTGCAAAAACCTATTGACCTACTCCATGGAACTGCTACTACTACGACCCAGGTGTCTGTCCGTCTGTCTATCTGTCTGTAGTGCCTACCTGCCTCGGCGTAAACTTGCAGCAAGAAAAGTGAAAAGCGGCAAGGAAAAACAAGGAGAAGAACAGCGCCAAGAAATGCAACGAAACGAAACTAGTTCGATGGCTTTAGGTGTATATGGTGCTTGAGCATGACATACGTGGATGGTTCGTGCTCAAAAGGCTGCCGCAGAATAGAAAGTCACGGAGACCACACCTGAGCTCTCCTTACTATATGCTCTCCGCTAACCCCACCCCACATCGACATGGTTATAGCCATTGTCAAGTTTCTGGCCAAGCGGAGAAAGGAAATGGATAGAACAAAATGTAACTTTTTATTTTGCTGGCCACAAGCACGAGAAGTAGTCCCAGAAAGAGCTCTACTTCAGGCCAAGAAGATGACGTTGATGGCCTTTCATTGCTATTTGCTGCTTTACTCGTCGTCCCGATTCTCAATGTCCTCCCTGGTACTGGAAGTCTCTTAGCCTGGATTTTATGCTATATCTATGTACGGGTGCACGGCATTCCCATTGTTCTCCTCTTTTGTGTGTATGTATGTATCTGTATTTTTTTTACGTGAGCTGCATTTGCGTTTCTGGCATTGATAGTAGCACCAAACTGGATCAAAATGTTAGACCTTGCTGCATATGCGACTGACATTTTTCAAGGCGAAATTTGTGATCTTCTGCTGCGACATGGAACATGCTAATTTATTCTGTTCACCTTTAAAGAGTTTTGATATATATATATCAATCTCTGCTCTCAACTCTGAGCTACTCGTATAAAGAATTATTGGTAGACGTTATAAATTAAAATTCGGCCTTCCTCAGTGCATGCCATTCGGTTACGTAGTAGCTGTGCATATCTTTGGCCGCTTGAGCTTACACGGAAAACTCTCATTTAATTACCAGCACTTGATCCCACTGTTTTTCGTTGTTTTTGTTGCTGCTGACCACTTTTGTGAGCTTTCAGCCACAGGCCACCGGCCATCGGCCATCAGCATTATCCAATTTCAATCACTTTGTTGGCCACTTTATTTCGCTTCATTGTTTGCATATACGCCTCGTAGCTGCGGGCAAGAGTGGCACGAACAGGACAACTGCCCTTCCCCTTTGCAGTTTCCGCTTATAATACAATTTTTATATAATTTAAATTCATTTTTTGGCATCGCCTGTGCCATAAAACTTTGTCTGTAGCCGCCTCGCAGGCTGCAGTTGCATTTTCCTCCCAGCATGCCTCTCTGCTTCTGAGTCTTGGTCTGGGTCCTTGTCTTTCTCCTCAGCCATACCATATAAACATGCGCTTATTTTGTATCTAGATAGGGAAGCGTTGTCCTCCGTTGTTGCTTCCTTCGTTCGCCGCCGGCTCAACATAATCAACATTGCGTATACGCAGCGCTGCTGCGGTTGGGCTGTTTCCTCCTTTGTCTGCCTTTCTCCTCACCATATTGATACTGCAGATAATGCCATAAAATTGTGCAAATATTTTTGGGAGCATTATTTTGCATGGTCTTTACTCTGGCACAACTTGACTTTGTTTTCCCCTGTTCCTTTTTTTGTAATATTTCATTTTTGTTATATCAACGCCTCAACTTGCTCGTTGCCCCGACTTGAGTCTGGTCTCCGATTTCATGTCCTGTTCTTTTATTTTCAATTTGCTGTTGCCTCGATCCGCCCCAGTCCTCCTGGTCCCCAATCCTCGTTCGGGGCCGTGTAAAGGTCTGGCTACGGGTCCTTGACTTGTTTTATGAGCCCTCGTTGTGCTGCTTTTGTTTTGCTTTTGACTTTCGCGTTTAGATTATAAATGTTTGGAAAATGTTTTCACAATAGTTGGCTGTTGGTCCTGCTGTTATCCCTCGGCCCTTGAGAGTTCCATCATCGCCCGCCCTTTCCCTTCGGTAATGAGTTTTGCTTCAGTCTTCGGGCTCTCTCAAGTGAGTTGGACCTGAGTTGGGTCTAGGTCTTGGCCTGGCCCTGAATCTTTTTGTTGTAGTCTCTTTCTTTTATGTGGGAATTTGCTTGCTCGTATAATATATTTAGCATAATGATGGTAATGATTATGCGTTCTGGCCAGGCGGCAATTTATCGCTTAATGAAAGATTTGTATGCATTTACGCAATTAGCTGGAAATAATTTATGCGCAATTGAAAATCAATTTAAATTGATTTTTAATGGGCCACATGTCCATAGGTCGCAAGCGCTGGGACGCAGAATTGTTTCGTTTTTTTTTTGCCATCACATTCTGAATTAAGTATACGCAGCGTATAAATCAAAATGTTTCAATATATACTTAGTTATTTATTTTAGCATAGCAATAATAACTATTTTGATTTATTATATATTATTCTCATTATTATCTTGCAGGGTTCGCAATTGGGCCTTGAAGTTCGGCGTTGATCTGTGGGAATTTGGACGGCAATTCACCAAAATGAACGAGATCAAAAATGTAAGTAATTACCCAAAAATAAAGCCATATGGCTACACCAAACACGCAAAACATATGTATCCCCAAAAGACATATGTTTGCCTGTACAATGTACATACATATGTATCAGATAATGCCAATAAATGGATACAACAAATAGCATTTGTTAATGGTATTGGCCATGTCTGGCGGTTTAGCCGAAACAAATACACTTAAGCTCTTTGGGCACTTAGTTCTACTTATCGATAAGAGAGCATTTTTAGATAAATGCTTAGACGATGGCAAGGCTTCGGAGAGGCTTAACCAACAAATGCCTCAATTTTTCGTGTTTTCCCCCTAACGTTCCTCTTATTTGTTTCCTTTTCCCAGCTATTTGTTGTTGGCCCTAATGCAATTTAAACACAAATAAGGCTAATTGAGGGGGCACTGCTAGCAGTAGTGGGTGTAGTAGGTTATGGAGGTAGTGGGTGGGTGGGTGGGTGGTTGCGTAAGTATGTGACTGCGTGCTATCTATGTTAATAAGCATGGCTGTGTTTGGCTTTGGTTGACTGCGTGGTCTGCGGTGGCGGATGGCGGATGGTGGATAGGTCTTCTCCTCAGCCAGTCGCGTATTTTTGCGTTTAATCAGACGTGCATGAGCTAGTGGGTTGCCTTTATTATGTGTGTTTGTGTGTGTGATTATATGGGAGAGTGGCTCATACATCTATAAGGATTTACATACTTGCAGTACTCTGTGGGAAACTTTATATTTTGTTTGTTTAATTTGAACATACCCTGGAAAACATGGGGAACAAATTAATTTTGAGATCTATTTTATTAAAAATATTTGAATAGAATTATATAAACTCTAGGTCAGAAATAGTTAGATATAATTTAAATTCGCTTATAACAGCATTTATAAAATTTATAAAATTCACTTATTTACTGCTTGCCACGAACTTCACTGAAAATGGGATTATCCCTGCTAGGGTATAAATATCAGCAAAAGTATTCAGAGTAGAAGTAGACAGAGCCAGAGAGAGACACCGAAAGGCAGCGACATGGGATGAGAAAAAGAGAGGAAGAGAGTGCGAGGACGAAACAAAAGAGAAAAGGAAGATACTGGGGCCGAGCCCGAGCCCATGCCATATCCACATCCACAGTCAGAGTAAGAGGCAGAGTCAGAGGCAGCTAAAATGCAAATAAATTTGCTGGCTGTGACTGTCATTGAGTCTGTAATTGTCAAGTGCCGTGTTGCTGTTGCTCTGCTCTCACTTGTTGTTGCTGTGGGTGTTGTGTGTGTGTGCGTGTATGACTGTATGGGTGTGTGCTATCATTGCCTTTGTAGTGTTGGGTGGGTGACTGGTGGAGGTGGTGCTTCTGCTGTCGCTGACAATGTTTGTTTGTGTTAATTTAAAGCGCACGTCGGAGCACAGCGACAAAAAATGAGAACCTACGCCCAGATTGAATTAAATATCAAGTATACGCGACGTGGTGCGTCCTCTGTGTGGATGGGCATCGCTGGGAGTGAACAGAATGGTTGTGAAATGGCCTTGTGTGATTGTGTATGATTGTGTGTGTGTGTCTCTGAGCTTTATAAACACAATGTCGTAGCAGTGCTTGTGTGTGTGTGTGAGTGTGAGAAAGAATGTTTATCTGTCTGTTTGTTTGCCTGTGTGCGGGTGCGGGTATCCCTTGTTAACGCCTTCAACCTTCTATGGTTCTGTTGCGAAGGCTAATAAATTGTATGCATTATAAAATTATTGGCATGCCAAAAAAAAGAGCATAATATGAAAGGATTCCGCATTGACATAGGATGGCAAGCGCTTCTGGTTGAATGTTGGGGAGTGGGAGTGGGAGGGGAGAGTTGAGCATGGCATTAATGAGGCTGTTTAATGAAGAAAATGTCCTGAAGAACTATAATTGCTATAATTTGTTAGAAAAAACCTCGAAAGGATCGCCCTTGAAAGCTTCTGAGTTTTTTTTTTCTCAATGATGTTTACTATTCGAAGTAGTAAAGAAAATCAAGGATTTTCCACTTTTAAAACCAAACTTTGGGGCATCGTAATGTTCGGATTGCACAGTTTGTCAGACTCGTTGACCTACAAAGTGGATCCAGTACTTGGCTATCTCGTAGATAGTTACCAAATGGAAACTATTGACAGGCTCTTATGACAATTTAAATTCAATTGGGGTTCTTCTCCATTTCTTGTTCTTGTTGCTACGTTCGCTGGCACAATTTGGTTATTCCATCGACTTGACAGTTGTCCTTCAAAAATGTTTTGCAATATAATAAAAAGATACAACAAAAAAAAAGGGAAAAAAAGGAAAATTAAAAAAGGAAAGCAAACAATGTTGTGGGTGTGGGAGCAGCCTCGTGCACCTCCCTATCCACCCCCTTTCTTCTTCACTTTTTCAGCTTTTCTCGTATTTTCCTGCTGTTTTTTGTTTTTTGTTTGTTGTTTTGTTTAGCTACTTTCTGCTCGGCATTTTAAAGTAGCATAATAAAATGTAAAACAAATGCAGCGCACACGTTCAGTTATGCGAAAGGCGTCGCAGGACAACAGCAACAGAAACAGCAACAAAAACAACTCTCTAAAGACAAAATGGCTGCCACCAGTAAAAACAGTGGGTGGGGGACAGAGACAGGGACAGAGTGAGAGAAAGAGAAGCAGTGGGTGTCCGTGTGTGTATGGAATGCCTGTGCGTGGCGCATATTCATTTATTTTATTTTATTTTTCTTGTGCCTTTGGCCTGGTAACGTTTAGCGCTGACTAGCTTAAAAAATATATCTACCTAAGCCATGAATTATTTTCTTTAGACAGATACTGCATACAACATGAAGTACAGCGTACAGTCAGACAAGACTGAATAAGGTCTAAGGTCTAAGATGGAGTGCTCTCGTTTAATTTTAATTCAAATTTAAAATAAAATGTTGCTACTAATAGCTATCCCCCATTAACTCATATTCTTTGTCCGCAGCTCTTGTTAAAAGGCAAAAAGTGACGTCTTAACACGACTTAACACGACTTAACACTGATCGTTGTATCAAATGTTTTAATTAACAAGACTTGGTGAAGGTGATATCTTGGTGGCACTCTCAATCAGAGCTGAATATCGATTAATTTGAGACTAGTACTCGGAGAATCGCGAATGTTGCAAGCTGGCTGTCATGCTTATGTTACCCTAAGCCCCAACCTTACGAGTAACAGAGACAGACTCCATCGACAACATGACAGTACACAAAGTGTTACACATTTGCTTAGTCCAAATGACAGGAGCCCCCTCCATTCGCTCTGCCTGCCTGTTTCTCTCACTCTTTGTATAGCTATCTCTTTCGCTGGTTTTGTTGTGTGGCATTTGCTCGCACTCGCACGACTGTGACGCCATTATGGCAAATGATGATGTGTACCTAACGATGATGCAGATGACGATGATGAAGTCGAGCTGTTGTGATCATTATCAGCCATCTGCTTCGCTCTTCATTTCTCTCGCTCTCTCTCTCTCTCTCTCTGTTACTTGCAGTGAAATATGGGTCAAATTCAAGTAGAAATTTCAAAACAGAAATGGCTGCGCATTTCTTCGAGACGCTCTCCCTCTCTCTGCTTGCTTCCCATTTCTTAGAATGTAAATAAATTTAAGCATGCTCTCATTTTGCACGTAATACAAAACTTTTTAACTGCAAAAAATGAAAAGAAAATTTAAGAAAATAGAAAAACTTGCGCGTGCTTTCTGTTTTTTTATCCGCTTAACCTTCGCCCTGGCTTCTGCCTTCGCCTCCATTTCATTTTCTATGCCAGTTTGTAATGTAAGTGGCAAATTACTGTAAGAGTATTACATCCTACATCTTCCAGCTTTTTCTGCACTTGTACTTGGCATTCGCAGTGGTCGACCATTCAAGGTATAAAACCAGTAAACCAACTGCAAGAAGTGTTCATAAAATGTGAGAAGTGAAACTCTTAATCAATTTGGCAGAATATTTTGGAATCGTTGAAGGGTTTTACAAGAACATTTCAACAGCCCTTGAGTCAATAAACTGATTCATAAATATCATAAGTATATTTTACTTTAAATAAGCACGAGATGTTATTTATTACCGAAATGACAATGTCTGAAAAATATAATCACTAGTAAAAATATTCTGTTAGTAGAACATCTTTTTATACCCGTACTCAAAAAAGAGTTAAGGGGTATATTAGATTTGTGGTAAAAGTGGATGTGTGTAACGCAGAGAAGGAAACGTTTCCGACCCCATAAAGTATATATATTCTTGATCAGCATCAATAGCCGAGTTGATAGAGCCATGTCTGTCTGTCCGTCTGTCCGTCTTGTTTGACGCCTGGATCTCAGAGACTATAAAAGCTAGAGGAACCAAATTTTGTTTCCAGACTCATGTGATATCACACTGCTACAAGAGTATTTTAAAATTTCGCTCCGCCCCCTTCCCCTCCCACAAAGGACGAAAATCTGTGGCAGGCACAATTTTAAAGATACGATTAAACTAAAAACGCAGTATCGTAGAGAATGCCCATATCTACCAGATTGCCGAATTTGAATCAGATCGGATCATAATCGCCCCCTCCTGCAAGAGAAACGCTACTCATTCTCTTTCTCGCTCGCACACTCTGCCGCGTTCAGTGCGCGAGCAACCCCTAGCGGAGGAGATGTAGAATATAAATGGTAATTCTAAATTTTCAAATTCTAAAAAATCTTATGCTCAAAAATGTATGTACGGTATAAGTAGAGTCGCGACCCCAGAAGCGACTCACACGTTCCTTCTCGTTTTTTTTTCTGGAGCCCTGAATTGCAATTTGAATTACCACAAAATGTTCTTCAGTCTCATGCCATTCGGAGATCCATCTTCAGATCCCACTCGAGAAACAACGAAAAACTTGAAATTCTTTGGACCAAGGCCCCTTTCATTGCCTTTGTGTTTTTGTTTTGTGTTGGGCGTCTAAGCAATTATAATTTTCGAAGGCCACAAAATAAAATGCAGATTGTCGGTCATTTGTTTGGGCCAGTGGTAGCCCACTCCTACCCCT